ATCCATATACCATCTTTTAAAACAACAGAGGTGGTAAACTTGCACGTTAACAATGTGAAGTCAGTCCTGGGAAATCATAAGGTTGGTTTTAAATCATGAAAATGAGTGAGTTCTTATGTTAACCTTCCTTTCTGAGCTTGTTCGGTTAGGATCTGCTTTCCAGTCTTCAGGGTTGGCCTCTGTCTTTTCATGAAAGTGGTACCTCATCTTGGACTGTAAAAAGGGACCATAAACTGGAGATAACAAAAAAAATGAGTAAGGGAGGAGCATTTTAGGCTAACTTTTATTTTGGAAGTAAGATTTTAATATTTCTCTGAATCTGATAATTATATGCAGAGCCACAGCATAAGAGTTTATTTGCCTTGGCCCAAGAGTATTGTCCATTGCCGCTTAATAAACTAAGAAGTATATATAAATGTATACATATATAAATCATAGAATCATAGAATGTAAAGGGTTGGAAGGGACCTTTAAAGCTGATCCAGTCCAACCCTGCAGTGAGCAGGGACATCTTGAACCAGCCCAGGTTGCTCACAGCCCCATCAAGCCTGGCCTTGAATATCTCCAGGGATGGGGCCTGCACCACCTCTGGGCAACCTGTGCAGTGATCGACCACCTCATGGGGAAGAGCTTTTTCCTCATATCCAACCTAAATCTCCCCTTTTCCAGTTTAAAACCATTCCCCCTCATCCTATTGCTCCATGCCCCAGTGAACAGCTCTTCCCCAGATTTCTTATAGGCACCTTTCAGGTCCTGGAAGGTCGCTATAAGATCCCCCTGGAGCCTCCTCTCCTCCAGGCTGAGCAACCCCAACTCTCTCATCCTGTCCTCATAAGGGAGGTGCTCCAGCCCTTGGATCATTCTTGTGGCCCTCCTCTGGACATGCTCCAACAGCTCCATGTCCTTGTGCTGAGGGTTACAAAGCTGGATGCAGTATTCGAGGTGAGGTCTCACCAGGAATCTCTATATTTAGATTCGGATAATTTGGATTTGTTTCTTAGCTGATACAGAAGCAGTACTTTCAGAGGTGCTCATTTACATATGCTTCTTATTTAGTAGCAGTTCTGCCAGTCTCTCTATACACTAGTTGTGCACTTTGCTGTAGTTCAGAATGGGTTTGCTCACTTAAGTTTTCTTTTTTGTTGCCAGAATAGCATAATGACGACTCGGTGTCACTATAAACTAGTGTCTCTGAACTAAATTCTGCACTGTCGGCAATTGCTGAGGATCATCATTGCAGCTGGTATTGGAATGGTTTGGGAATCCTTAGTTAAAAAGGTGAGGCCCAGTTCTCATTTACACCGATCAGGGCCGTGCTCCATTGCTCTGCTCCTGCTGCATTGCTCAGACTGCATGAGAGCAGGGGAGGCGTAGCAGCCTGCCAGCACTGTGAGCAGAGAGTTCTGGTTTTCATCTGTTTTGCACCCACTTTGCAATTTGCGTGAGATGTAAAATATGTTGAATGAAAATAATAAATTACTACGGGAAAAGATGTACAGTTCTTCTAATAGCACTGCTTTGTGGATGTCAAATGGAGACGGGTATGTCCTTAGCCTCCAAGATCCAAATTACACATAAAAGCCTTATTTTGTATGTCATGAAGTCTTCTCATAGTCTCTGGAAATGTGATTAATTAACTAGTTCTCAAGAAAGGCATTAAGAAACAGAACTGTATAGAGCTAATCCCTGTGGTGTCGTTAGCCATGAGTTGGAAAGCAGTTTTGTCCGTTCCTTCCAACAAACACAGCCAATTTGGCCATTACAGTAATGCATCACACTTGGAAACCTGAATCTCCAAATCTTCCATCAGCTTCTGATTACTTGAGTAGTTTGTATGGCAAACACACAGCTAGAGCATTTGACATTAAGAATTTCTTACGAAACTAGTTACAACAGTAGAAGCCAGGAAAAAAGGCAGGGAGTGGTGCTTTTACCATGTAAGACCCTGGTCCTTTTCCAGTACGAGCTTCTCTGTCTCATTTTTAAAGCTCTGCTCAAGGTGTTCAGTTTCTGTACTGAATTATTCTACCACTGTGCAGCAGATTCCCAAGGCTGAGCCATTCCAGGTTAACCCTATTCTCAAATTAATATTTTGGGGTTTTTTGCATGCATTTACATTTTCAATTTCTTTTTCCTATGCCTTACTGTCTAGCAAGAATAAAACTGCTGAAATTATTTCTGGATTCATCCATGAAGCTTGCTGTATTTTTTTTAACTACTGAGTGTGACTAACTCTGCTTGATCTGTCCTTGTGCCACACAGATTTTTCTAGACTGTGCCAACCCATCTTTGCCTAGTGTGTGGTGTGCCCAGCTGAATGCAAATGGAACCATAGAGAATTTTGTTGGTTTTCTGAGGTGTTGCTTCATTCTTTACTTTTCTCCCACTACCTGCTCACTCCCTGATCAAGTAAATATTTATGAAAAGTACCTGAAAAAAAGCCCGTGAGTCATCAGGAGAGTTACTAATGATAGTATAATCTCACCTTAACTTGATTGACTCCATCTCCCCTATGTGTTAATATTACTGTTTGGTAAACAGACTTGAAATGAAATTGTGCAATTAATCTTTTCATTTGATTTTCAAGGTTCTTTTTGTTTAAATGCCTTTTAGTGGATGGCAGTGCCAAATAAAGGGCCATATTCTTCTGGCAATTTTACTTATGTAGATTAAGCATAATTCTGTAGTTTAATCGTGTTTCATCAGGATAAATTAGAATGTATTGGAAAGTATTTGACCTTATGAATGTAACAGAGAAATTAAGTTTCCTGTGACAATAAATGTTGCTATGTAATTACAAGCTGTTACTTGTTTGAACATTACTCAAATGCCATTTTCTGCCCGCTTCCCTGATATGACCAACCTGACTGCAAGTGGAACAGCTGAGGAAAAAGTGATTTTCTTTGTGGAAAAGTTTGAGAGTCTTCACTTGGATCAGAAGTATGCAGAGTAAGAAGAGTACTTTGAGAATGTGGGCATCACTGAAATCTCATGTTCACCAAGGCATTCAGAGTACTCTCCCCCTCAGCTAAACCTGAGGGCTGGCAAAAGTGAAATTAGAGCAGGTTATAGCCCTCTTTACTTCAGTTACTTAATGTGGAAGGGTGCTTAGAGGACTCTGTTGTAGTCATGGGTGGCCTTGTGTCTGAGTGCACATGTGCTAATTTTGGGTGTATTACTGGGAGATCTGTGTTTGACTGTGGGGAAAAGGCCTCCAAAAAGCGAGGCTTTCCTACTGGAAGTATACTTAGGCTTTGCCTGAGACAACTAGGAGTATAGTTTCTCTTGCAATAATGTTAATTAGTCAAATGCTTTTTAGAAATTAATATTTAATTTTTGGCCTTGTCTGACTGGAACAGCAAAATTCAGTCAGTCCAATGTAAGGTGAAAATCATGAGATTGTGACTGTTGTTGTAATTCTCCTTCACTAAATAACTGTTGTTGTTGATTTCACATGTTGTTCTGCTCTTTCCTGTGCCTCAGCCTATGAATGCTTAAGAAAGCAGAAGCTCAGGTATCTTGGGTGTTGTTCAAAAGAAGTTAGTATATGAAGACATAATGACTAACGGAAAGTTAATTTAAACTTTAGCTTAAAAGCATTTAAAACTTACTAAAGCTTTTTGGTTTAGCTTGTGGTGCCTGAACCCTGTTGGATTC